GTGTTGGCCTCGCGGGACCACTAACCGAAGCATAATGCAGAGAAAAAAGGGGGTAATACCTATTGGGCCCTAGAACCCTAATTGCCAGTACACTATTACTATTCCAGGGAAGGTAAGAGATGGATAACTACGTGAGCAGGTGTATGTACCTGGTAGTATGGTATTGAACCTGACAATCCGTATAGGTTTTTTAGTAGTAACTGTAACCTGAATGGATAAAACCGTATGGCATAAGGAAATATGGCATAGACCAAGCTTATCTTAATACGTACAGTATATGTGAAAAGTAAAGTGCCATGATGTGTAAATATTAAACATCGTAGCCATACTGGTTAAATATGTATCAATCTTAACCCATTAAGTGCCGTATGTACAAGTGAAAATGTGGTCTGTCCCCACCTTGTATGTTGTATGTCCCCTTGCTAGGGGAAAGTCTGTTGCGTGAGCAGCGTGCTGTGAAAAATGTATGTGAACTATATTACCAGTTACGTATATACAGACGCGTCTGCTACTGTGTAATAATATATGTATTTATACCTGATGTTGATATAGTGCTTGCTATGTGAATTGTTGTATGTCTTATTGAATGGTAGGGGTCAGTGAACATGGTGTTGCAAAATGCAAGTGCACTGGAGATCTGCCGAGTGCCCTATAGGTGGCAGTGTAGTTGGATACTGATTGGTATGTGAAATGTTGTTTGTCTGTTGACCTATAGGTGTCAGTGTTTTGGTGTTTGTAAAACCCCATGAAAATTGTCAATGTACTTGACAGACCTGTAGGTGGCAGTGTTGATAGAACCACTGTTGGTCTTGATGTGAAATGTAAATTATTGTGAATTAAACCTGAATTTGAGCCCGTGCTGGAGTTTCATTTATGGTTTATGGTTATGTTTAACCCCGTAAGGACCAAACTTCTGGAATAAAAGGGAATCATGACACGTCACACATGTCTTGTGTCCTTAAGGGGTTAAAACAATCTTATGTGTAATTTATATTGGCTGGTAAATTGTATATGACATGTGAAGACAGTTTTGCTGTTGACCAGTAGGGGTCATAAATGCTGATTGTATGGTAAAAATACCCTTTAACCCCTTAAGGACCAAACTTCTGGAATAAAAGGGAATCATGACATGTCACACATGTCATGTGTCCTAAGGGGTTAATCCTACCGTTTGACAGATAGGAGTCAGTATAAAAGCGAAAATGCTGTAGTTAGTTTGTTTGCTTATGAAGTGAAATAAAGTCTGAGAAGACTGTAGTATACCGATTGACCGGTAGGGGTCAGCATGTAGGCGAAAATGCCGTGGTTCGTTGGTTTGTACATGAAATGCAATAATGTCTGAGAAGCCTGTAGTACACAGAATGACTGGTAGGTGTCAGTGTGTAGGTGAAAATGCAGTGGTTTATTGTTTTGTACATGAAAAGCAATAATGTCTAAGAAGCCTGTAGTACACCGAATGACTGATAGGGGTCAGTGTGTAGGTGAAAAATTAAGTGGTTTGTTGGTTTGTACCTGAAATGCAATAATGTCGGAGAAGCCTGTAGAACACAGAATGACCGGTAGGGGTCAGTGTGTAGGCACAAATGCAGTGGTTCGTTGATTTGTACATGAAATGCGATAATGTCTAAGAAGCCTGTAGTCCACCGAAAGACCAGTAGGGGTCAGTGTGTAGGTGTAAATGCAGTGGTTTATTGGTTTGTACATGAAAATGCAAACAACGCCTAAGAAGCCTGTAGTACACCGAATGACCAATAGGGGTCAGTGTGTAGGTGAAAAATGCGGTGGTTCGTTGGTTTGTACATGAAATGCAATAATGTCTGAGAAGCCTGTAGTACACCGAATGACCGGTAGGGGTCAGTGTGTAGGCAAAGATGCAGTGGTTCGTTGGTTTGTACATGAAATGCGATAATGTCTAAGAAGTCTGTAGTACACCCAAAGACCAGTAGGGGGTTTAAACGAATGATATGCATGAACATGCAATGGTTTTAGAACAGACTTAGACAAAATGCAGCAGTAAAGTGAGGACCTGACCCTTGCATGGTGCCGTGGGACTGATGCCTGGCGTAATGGGTAGGTCAACTTACGGTTTGTGAGTCACTTGGACACCATCCACAGCGATAGATTGAAGAAAGAAGGTGGTAGGCCGGAAAAGCCTGTGGCTGGATTCCTGACACAGCTCAGCTTAGAAAACCTCATGGAGTAATCAGGTAAAATGGCGTCTGGATGACCCGGAAGTGGAAATCATTCTGATGCTGACCTCAAGCGATATGAGTCAGGTAAGGGGTGTCCCTTATATAGGGGAGTGAATTAATTTAAGCCCCTCCCACAAATACAGGCAAAACTGCCTTAATACATATATATATATATATTTGTAGTCGGGGATATAAAGCCGTAAGTGTAGTCGTAGGTGAAGACTGATAGTTGGTTGTGGTGTGCCTGAACCAATGATCGGGTAGGCCTGAAATAATGAGGGCCCACCTAAATAGTATTTGTTGAAAGGGTGTTGGTGGGTGGGGAGTCAGAAGCGACCTGGCCCTGATTTAGAGGTAGGTCTGAGTTTAAATAGGCCGGTTAACCCCTCCCACAACTACAGGCTCCGCCTTCACATTTGTAGTCTGGGATATAAAGCCGTAAGTGTAGTCGTAGGTGAAGACTGATAGTTGGTTGTGGTGTGCCTGAACCAACGATCGGGTAGGCCTGAAATAATGAGGGCAAAAAGGTTTCAAACAAAAACACTTTAATGTTTGTAACATTCACATGAGCAATTCTTTAAAAGCTTTCCTCAGTTCCTTCTCTGGCTGTGGAATGTATTTTCCTGTAAGCTGCTGATTTCCACCTACCTAGTTTTTTAATGATGTGTGCGGGTACGTTATTGCTGGAAGCGGCTGACGCGGCGCCAATCCTGAATGAATGTCCTGAGATGGACATGGGGTTGTGTCCTAGTCTGACCGCCAAGGCCCTTACATAGTGTATAAATTTAGCCGTGGTCAGAGGTTTGTCGGCGATAGTGAGTAAGGGTGAGTAGCTTTGTTTGTCTGTGAGGGAAAGGCAGAAAGTATCCAGGATTGTCACCGGGCACCATTTGTTATGGGTCGGGAAGTACTGGATTTCCGTAGGCGGTCCTACCTGATTTGTTTTTGTACGTCTTAGGCGCAGTATGTAATGGTCCCCTGATTTTTGTAGGTCCCTAATTCTGACGTAGCTTGTGTTAACTGATAGATTATGTACCATGAATTCATTGGGCCGTAAGAACCCGTAAAACGCTATGTACATAGCCGTCTTGAGTACGTTGTTAGTGCTAGGTTCGAATGGGTTAGAATCTAATAGCTCTGATAGATCCTTGAATTTATTGCCATCAATTGGCTGTCTTTTGGCTGTTGGAGGGCCGTCAGTGCGGAGTATTCCTTTTAGGGCGTTTTTTAAGAGATAGGATGACATGAAAGGTTTGTGATTGGGGAACATGGTGAGTAAGTGGTGATGAATGCCCGTGAGGTAGAGTTTTATAGTGTTATGGGCAAGCTTAAGGTGTAGGTTGCAGTGCGCGGTGAAAGCAACAATCGTGTCTAAGGAGAAGGTGTTGGTGATATGGTGTTCGGAAGTGAACCTGGAAAAAATAGTAAGAGCTCTGTCATAGGATTTCTTGGTATTATCTGATAGAGCCGCTTTAGCCAACGTTAGTGCATGCTGTTTCAGGTTTATCAATCCATAATGAGGTCCTGAAATGCGGGGGTTGGCACAGGTATGGCTACCGCCGTGGGATGCTGTTCGAAAAAGGCCTGAAAGTTGGAACGAGAGAGAGCGTCAGCTGCAATGTTTTCCTGGCCTGGTATGTGCATGCAAACCAAGTGGAAGTTGTGAGTTGCTGCCAGCCATGTGAGTCTTCTCATGAGTCTCATGATGACTAGGGATGCGGATCTGCCCTTGTTAATGATTTCACATGTGGCTTCGTTGTCGGAGAGACATTTGACTGCTTTGCCCTCCCACAATGGGCCCCAAGTGTGTGCAGCTGCCACTGTTGGGTAAAGTTCGAAAAGTGAGGATGTGGTGTTAAACGCCTGTAGTGTTGAAGTTTCAGATGGCCATGCACCCCGGAACCACTGGTCGTTGTATATGGCTGCAAAGCCTGTGTGGGCTGCTGAATCGGTCCACACGACCGGGGAATCTACGTCAAGTGGGGGTATGAACATTGACCTCCCGTTCCAGGAGGAGAGAAATGTGCCCCACATGCGTAAGTCTGCTTTGGCGTTAACGTCGATGAGTATGTGGGTATTGTCGTGGGGGGTCTCCGTCAGGAGGTGAAGTAGGCGTGAAATGAAGGACCGTCCTTGCAGTATGATGCGGACCGCAAAGTTAAGTGAGCCCAAAAGTGACTGAAGCTCTTTGCGAGAGCAAAAGTTTTTCTGCATGAACCATGAGATTTCGTTGGTTATGCGTGTTACCTTCTCGTCTGGGAGACTCGCTACCATGGATATGGAATCTAGATGGATGCCTAAGAAGGTCAGGGCTGTAGAAGGACCTATTGTTTTTTTCTACTGAAATAGGTACCCCCAGTGTGGAGAAAAGAGCAGCCGTTTTGTCTAAGCTGTGGGGGGTGCGGTTAGGTTCTTCAACCGTGAGGAAGTCGTCCAGGTAGTGTATTGCTACCGGGCAGCCACACACATTTAGTAATAACCAGCAAAGTGTTTCGGCGAACGTGTCGAACAGTTTGGGACTGCTTTTGGCCCCAAACGTTAAACGCGTGGCGAAGTAGTACTGGCCCTCCCATTTCACTCCATGTAAATGCCACAGGGATGGGTGTATGGGTAGCAATTTGAAAGCGTTGGTGATATCGGTTTTTCCTAACCAGGCGCCTTTACCTGCTTTCAAGATTGCTCCCATTGCATTATCCACTGTGGCATATTGGAGTGAAAATTCGCTAGACGGAATCAATGAATTAATGCTAGGAACCACGGATGAATGAGGCGCTGACAGGTCAATAATCATGCGTTTTTTATTATTGAATTTTCCAGTAGCAATGCCAATTGGGTTAGTTCTGAAACTGGCATATGGGGGGTGTGTGAATGGGCCTATCATGAACCCATGGTTGACCTCGGCTGTAAGTAGTGCGTTCGTAGTGACGGGATCTTGTAAGGCTGATTGTAGGTTCCTACATTCTAGGGTGCCTCCCGGTATTGCCACTAGCCCTGTGTGGAATCCTATCGTGAAGCCTGTTGTGAGGAACTCGACCAAGTGAGGGGAGGGGTGATTGGAAAGATAATAAGTGAGGTTGCCAACATTAATCTCCGTGAGTCATTGTCTAGGGAGCAGCCGATTAGGGCACATGGTCTTTGCGTGTGCCCTAAAGCAAAGGGAACAGACATGCAATAAACGACAAGCGCTGAAGCTACAGCCCCCCGCATTAAAGTTATTGCATACCTGTGCTTTGCCGAGGAATACAATGGGCCTGCCCAGTTTGTCTTTGATGACCCTATCTGATTTGGGGGTGGGCTCTGCTTGGCTTGTGGAGGGTTGGCTTAGTTCAGAGGGACACAGATTGGTGGAATGTGCAGAGGACGTGCAAATGGCACAGGACGGAGGCTTGAGGCCGGCGAAGTGGCGGCAGAACAGTTCCGTATCCAGTTGGCTCCAGTCTGAGCGTATGTTAAACTGGACCAGTGCTGCCGCCGCCTTCGCCAAAAATGACCTATGATAATCATAGAAAGAGTAGCCTCCGTATTTGTTGCCTAAGTCCACCAATTTGTGGAGGTACAGGTCCTGTTCCTCTCTGCGTTGAGGGAAGACGGAACAAATGACATCCCTGTACAATCCAAAAGCAATTACAAAATCGGGGATGGACAGTTTCTTGTTAAGCCTGGGGTCCCTAGCCTTGAGTACTACCGAAACTTCCCCATAGCAGTAAGCCTTGTTTTCTACCAAGTCTTGGGATGCTATGAGGAGTGAAACCAGGTTGACGTCTTTCCCCTCTAGGATGTCTTTTTTAATGGCTTGGGGCACTAAGTGGGCAGGCGTGATGATGTGTGTGGAGGCAGGTGCTGGGCCGGAAAGAGTGCTGTTACCCGGGTTAGGCAGTGACTGTGGCAGATTGGTGGGAGCATTAGCTGGGTTGATCAAGGCCACTTGGTTCTCAAGTTTCTCCAGTCTCTCGTTGATCAGATTAACTGAAGAGAGAAGAGTGGACATGGTGGCCTGAAGTCCAGGCGTGCTCCCATCGATAGCCTGTGTACTGGTGCCAGGTCGCGGGGTGTCGGGGTTATTGTTCAGGAGGTGGTACAGTTCCGCTTTGCGGGCCGGGTATGGTATGCCTCGTCTTCTGAGCTCAGCTGCGATCTTGGGAACGGTCCAGGAGCGTAGGGACGCTGGACTAGCCGTCTCTACCAGCTCCACTGGGGTACAAGGTCTGGTAGGGCTAGCGACCCTGGCTGGGGTGCTGGGTAGGGAGACATCCTCGGCTATGTCCGAAGCGTGTGACATTCTATAACGTGAGTAAGTACATCAATTAGAGGATGATGGTTCGACTAGGGTGAATATTATTATAGGAATAATTTATCTCTTTATGTAGGGAGTGAAGTGCCTTGTAACGGGGGGGGTGACTGACGTGCTCGTACGTGAATATGGAGAGTTTGCCCGTGAAGTCGGTGAGCGAAGTGGTCTAGATGTGAGGACCAATTTTTTTTGAGCGCAAGGACGTGTGACGTAGAGTGAACTATGACCCTGTTTTGGGGGTGTTGTGCTTGCAAGGCGAGTTCGATGGCCTTGTCCACTGAGAGAGGAAGGTGGTTTAGGAAACGTGATCGAATTGAGGCCGTAGTGTGGGCCTTGTGACCTGTTGGCCTGTCAGGTGCGTGTCTGACAGGGTGACTATAAAAGGGGAAAAAAGGCGGAAAACGAGATACTTACTTTGGTAAGCGAGTTTTCTCACGATAGCGTTGACCTATGGAGAAGAATTAGCGTCTTGCGAACTGATATGGCATGTGGGTTGCCAGATTTGGCTCGATCTGCGTAGCTTGTCTGGTGGATATTAAGGGAGGACTATGCGTTGTCTTGCCGACCTTCCAGCTCCCCCCCCCCGCAACTATGGGGTACGAGGCCGGCAGCAGAGTGTCACGTGACGGGAGTGTCACGTGACCGGAAGTGTTCCGGCGATATGACTGGAGGTGAAATGCCTCGGAGGGGGGCCCGGTCCCAGGGCTGGCTAAGATGATGTAGGGTAGGGAGACCCTACAGTCATGGGGAGGTTGCTGCCTGATCGTAATAGTACTTACTCTGCTGGACCGGGACCGGAAGTGACACGAGTGACGTCAGAAGCGACCTGGCCCTGATTTAGAGGTAGGTCTGAGTTTAAATAGCCCGGTTAACCCCTCCCACAACTACAGGCTCCGCCTTCACATATATATATACACACGTGTGTAATTTTACTGTGTAATTACACATGTGTATGTAATTTTTATTTTTATATCAATATAACATTATATATACGTTATATAACGTACTCCAGAGAGACCAACTGTTAGCCCTAATTCTTTGGAACTGTTTTGGGCATGGGACCTTGCGGGTAGTCGGTCAAAATTAAGACTTCCAGTAAATTTCTGAACCCCTGAACTGATCCTTGTGATTTTTGGATATGTTGGTCACCCAGATCAAGGCTATCAGGGGATGTAACTTTTTGTGGGGGTTTTATGTATTTTTAGGGTACTTTGAAAAATGTGTGTGTTTTTCTGTGCTTGGAGATAATTTGAATAGATTAGTACAGATTCTGATTCAATTTAAACATACCAAGTCCAGCAAAGAACTCCAAGCTCAATCAGCTGTTCCACAGCCATTTGCAACAATCTGATTTTTAAACATACCCAGTCCAGCAAAGAACTCAAAGCTCAATCAGCTGTTCCACGGCCATTTGCAACAGGTAGCCTTCTGGAAGACTGACATTTCATTATATCTCTACATACCCTGTTAATTTTGTTGTGTGTGTGCTTTTATATTTAGTGACTATTATTTAATTTTATTATTTTCAATGTATATATTTCCATGTCTTTGTAACTACAGCCTGTGCTAATAATGCAAAGTATTTTATCACCTTTGTCTTTGTCCATCATGTTAAAAGCTAGTTTAACCAGCTCAGGCCCATATATCTTTCTTGTTCTTTGTTTAATGGTTTTGTTTCCCTACTTAAATACCTCTGTAATTCTCAATCTTACCCTTTGTTTTCCTTAAATGACCTTAAATCAAATATCCATCTATGCATTCCCCCCATCTCTTAGCACATCTGACCCTAATATACATCCCTCTCCCACAGCCTGATTTTTAAACAGTCCAGCAAAGAACTCAGAGCTCAATCGACTGTTCCACTGCCATTTGCAACAGGTAGCCTTCTGGAAGGCCCTTGCAAATGATGTGGAGTCTAACCCTGGTGCCCCAGCTAATTCTAGTCCTAATCTCCCCACTAAAAAAGGCCTCTCTTTTGTGCATTGCAACATCCGTAGCTTACTCCCTAAACTGGATGCACTGCAAGCCTGGTGTTCCCATTACAATCCAAAAATCATTGTACTCTCAGAATCATGGTTAACGACTAAAATACCAGACACCTCCATTGCAATGCAGGGTTATTCATGTTTTAAAAATGACAGAGCAAAAAGAGGAGGAGGCATTGTTATTTATGATGACAATTCCATAAAGTTTACCCCTTAGAAAAAATTTTTACCCAAGGTTAAAATCACCAGATCTTTCAAAAAATGTAATCTTTAAACCTTTCTTAATGACATCAAGAACCTCCCATGGCACAGATTAAACATTATCCCAGATCTAGACTGTGCTGTTGAATTATTTCAGTCTGAAGTGATACAAATTTGGAATTTACATGCCCCGCTGCGTAAGGTGAGAGTAAAAGGAGCACATATGAACTGTATCACAGCTGACCTCATCTAAATGTACCAGTTTCGGGATTCTTTGTGGTCAAAGTTCAAGCATACTGGCTCTATGAATGATCACTGTGCACATAGACAATGACGAAATATATGCACAAAACAAACAAAATTGTCCAAGGCTCAATATTTCAGTGAAAATCTGAACAATAACCTATCAAACCCTAGAAAGTTTTGGAAAGTCATAAACAAATTACAAATTCCCCAATCCACTCCCAACCCTCCACAGTCAAAGTGGATAGTCAAACTCTGCAACTTCCCTTAGATGTAGCCAATGCCTTTAACAATTATTTTGGCGGATGCTCTACTGCCCTGACTGCCAAGCTAATAAATGACATGCATCCTGAAACTACAAATGTGGCTCAGGCCCCACTAAATTTGCAAAAGACCCAATATAGACAAGTTCATTTTTAGACCTGTACCTATTAGTGTCATTAAACACCTTAATAATCTAAAAATGAAAAACCAGTCTGGACCTGCTCAAATCCCAGCAAAGCTGTTGAAGTGCAGTGCGCCGGCAATTGCTAAACCCGTCGCAACCCTAATTAATGAATCCTTGGTGTCTGGATACATACCCAAATGTGGTGACACTACTTTGGTTTCTAACTATCGCCCAATATCATTACTCCTGATATTGTCAAAAATCCCAAGGTTCCATTCTCAGCCCCCTACTATTTACATTATTTATAAATGAACTGCCTAAACTCTGCAACTCCTCAAATGTACACATGTACGCAGGCGCAGGCGACACAGTAATCTATGCAAACAAATCCAATCTACCGCAGCTTGAGGCTGTGCTCCAAGACCAGTTTCCAGTTTACAGAGGTAGAAAAGTGTATTGCAAAAAACAAACTCTTCCTAAACACTGACAAAACTGTCACAATGATCTTTCAAACACTATCTAAATTACACAAATTACACAGTTCCCACCTATCCATCAAAACAAATTCAAATAGCATACTGACCGCAGTCCACTCTTTCAAAATACTTGGGTATGTTGTTAGACCCCAATCTATCTTTTGGCCTCCACATAGAAAAACATGCATCTAAACTTTATCCAAAACTAGGTGCCTGGTACAGAAACAAATCCTGCCTAAGCCCTACAGTAAAGGAAAAGATTGTACAGCAAATGCTGATGCCAATCATTGATTATGAGGATGTAGTATATGCATCTTCACCACAACCCCACATTAATAAACTCAATACATTGTATAACTCATTCTGCCAATTTGTGCTACAATTTAATTACAGGACCCACCACTGTGACATGCTAAGAGAACTAAACTGG